TGTAGTTTTTACGTCGTAGTACAGAGGACAACTTTTCTAGGTCAGTCAGACGTTTTAAAATCTTGAGTAAGACTCTAAACTAAGTCCCCCGAATGGGTGTTAAACACTTGAACAACCCACGTTTTGGGGAGGGTTGTTCAACTGTGTTTTAAAATCTTGAGTAAGGCACTAAAGTAACCCCCTTCGGGGGGTTACTTTAGTTTCTTTTTGGTTGAATATTATTATTAGTATCAGATTACCTTTTTGGTGTTGGCAACGTCTTCTTTCACTTTCCTTCATTTCCTAAATAGTTTTATGTCGCTGTTCGGAGGCGATGTGCTGCTTCTGGAGCAGTGATAATGCGACTGGCTTGATAGTTTTTGATTTTTTTGTTGTGAAGCGTTATTTGTTTACTCGGCATTGTTGTGTTCCACAACAATGCCGATTTTGTTTATAGTTGACAGTGTTGATGACGTAATTTATTGACAACGACTAATCACAAATTTTTATAAGGAGATTATACGACAGTACATATTATGTATGAAGATCATTTTATCCTTTGAAGCTAAAGCTCATTCGAAAAACATTTAAAAATTCAGTCCTTACCTAAAAGATAATGCAACACTTCTTCTTGATGAACTGGTTAATGCTGTTCAATCTAAGAATCATATAACAAATACACTCTGAGGAAAACACAGTTATCAATTATTAAAACAGATGGCACATATAGTTACTGCTGCACTTCTCACCCTCTTCACTGCTTAACTTGAACCTACAAAAAATATTAAGCTGGTTGTAAGACAATAACAAGAGGATGAAGGAACTTTCACAAAGAAATCTTCAACATATTGCTCATGATTAAATCTAGTAAGATACTAATGGAAGAAACATGAAGTTAACTGAAACCATAACTTGAAATTAAAAACATGTTACCTACAAACAAATGGCCTGATGTGATCTCCCCATCTGATTTCTATACAAAACTGAACTAAACATTTGGGAAATACAAATTTCACATAAAGTGAAATTATATATTTGGCACAAGATACAGTATGTAACCTACAATCAGTCATTCCCCTAAAGTAGTTGTTACCACCTACCACTGGACAATTAACAAAGCAAACCATACACAAATCAAAGGGAAACATACATGCAAACCTGAAAACTATGTGCAAGTATAAATTTAGCTTAGCACCTAAAACAGAAGCCCTGACTGTAGAAGAGTGTAAGCCATAATAATTTTTGACCAACTACAGGACAAGAGCATATCAAAGCACTTGTAATGGACTTCTCCGACATATTACCACCAATCTTATACATATAACCGTCATGAAGGTCCAGAAGACAGACATACTGTAAGCATGAGGGGAAAATGAGGAACTGAAGTTCATCATGAGACAAGGTAAGTTTATTTCAGCACCACACAATGTCATGTATATGTTTCGGAGTTCAAAGATCACATGCGGAAATGAAAAATGCTCAACATGTGTAAAATTAACAAATAACTGAGGAAAGAACCAGGAAATGATACAAAAGGGGGCAGGGGAGGGAACACAAACAATCTTAAGAAAATGTGGATGTCTCACAATTAATATTAAATACTCAATTTAGGATATGTGGAACACAATAAAACAGATAGGATTAGAGGTTCTCATGGCAGTGAGTATGAAGATGGCTGTCTTCTGGGTTGTAGCACCACATAGTGTGGTGGAACAGCAATCACCCTAATCATGGAGGCAGCAGTGACATCTGAAACGTTGGTAAACTACCAGACTAAATGGTGCTACAACTCAGATGACAGCTATCTACATGATGAAACAGGTCAGCCAAAATTCAAACAGACATGTTTCACCATATCCTTAGCTGAATAAGAATGCTCAAAGGTGAGGGTGATACATGGAAACAATAACTGAAGTTAGCTGTAATCAAATTCTACTGAGAAACCACAGATCATATCATAAACATTGCACACTTTTTTGAACTGGAATTTCAATATTTACTGTAGACTGAAAACATGCAAAAATCAAGTATAAATAAAACATATTTGCATTAGTAACAAAACAGGACAATTAATAAAATTAATCCTCACCATGAATGAGGTAAAACTTAGAACAAAGTGTAATTATTTTGTTAGTAAAACTGAATCCTAACTGAATATGCTTGAAGTACAGAAAATGTTTCATCACAATGTTATATAAAAAGATAAATGTAAATGACAAACACATTCACTGCCAGGTATTTAAATTCAGGTATTACTTATAAAGCTGGGGCTTACAAGACCGTGGTAGGGGGTTTACCACTGTTGAAAAAATAAGACATTTTGCGATTTCAGAGAAATAATTTTGACTCATTTCCAATTTCTGCCATTTTTTTAAATTTGTTAGTGCTTTTACTTTCTCACACTTTCATGGAACTCAAACACCCTCAAAGGCACTTAAGGCCAGATGCCAGCTGCGGACTCATACAAAGAACAATTACTGTGAGCTGCCACGTTACCATGTAAACTAAACAAAAGTGAACAAGTAATGGATAAAATAAAAATACAAAAAAGAATAAAACAGCAGGTATTTGATAAACCCCCATTGTCCAAATGATACATTAAGCAAACTCCATTCATGATGCAATCTTCCACAATCTTATTCACATTGTAAAGAGAGGCAAGTTAATCAACTTACATCAATGTTGGCACTATTGAATAAAGCATATCCTACAAAACAATTTGATTTAATTTTGGCAGTGAATGTGTTAAATAATTTTACCTTTTAACACAGTGCCTGAAACTGAATACATAATTATAATGGCAGTTAAATATCACATGAAACTCATGTTTGTATTAAATTCCACATATTGTACATACACACTGACTTAAAATTAGGGCCAACTTGTTACACAAGTTCACCTTATTAAAAATATACACCAACCACTGGGGAACTGCAGTTAGTTTACTCATGAAAAAAGAGTATCAGATTCACACCTTTGGAAACACCTACACACAAAACTTCTTTGACTATTAAATAATTAAAAAACATTTCTTTCTATGGGTCTCTGAACAATCTGGAATACAGGTAAGGAGAGCCACAGCACATTAAGGCAACACTTCTTAGAATAGTTCTAATTTATAAAGTAGTTACAGGGTTTTCAGAATTCGTAATATCAACAATTATGAAAAAGTTCAGTGTTTCATATTCTGTAAGCACATGATTAGACACAAACATGTAGCTGTATGTCAAGCTCTTAACACAATTAAAACTGAGCATTAAAATTTTCACTGTTTAATAATTTGAAATCTATGATGAAGACGTTTTCAGTTATCACTGTTTCACAAAATTTACCGGCTGTGGAGATCTCTAAATGTGCAATATCACTGACCCAACAAAATTTTGTTAACATATACCATATCTTACAACGTATGGAGCTTTGGTGGGAAAACTTGATACTTAATGTGTAAAAACACTAGGAGATAAACAAAACCACTGGTTGGCATACAAAATTATATTACAGCCTTTGTGCTCTCAAAGTGCAATCTTTCTGAAGGAAAGTAAGAGAAATTACTGCCACAGTATATAATGTCTTATACAGAGTGCATCACCGCATGGTCTGCATTCACAAAATGTATTAATTAATATTTAACTTGAAAGAAGGTTGCCTACAGATGTGAACAGCTCTTGGAAAGGCATGAAATGAAAAGGCACTATCCATGTTTTTAAAAGTGTCTGAAATGCAGTACATGTAACACTCTCACTTCACTTCTTAATAGGCATTTCCCAAATCAATTAGTTAGGCTTCAACAAATTTTCTATTCACTAAGAAGCCAACTCTAAAAAGTAAGAAGGCAAGGCAAAAAAAGTAATGTACTACATATAAACAGCTGTTTTAAAATACATTTTTTACATCAATTTCATATTAATTCATGCAACAACTGAATAGTTATACCTGCAGGTCCAGTATTATCCAAGTGTTACACATAATAAAATTAAATAAGTTTTAACTTCTTGATAAAAACAGAGCCCACGTACAAAGCGCTTTTCAAAATATTCCTGCAACAAGGCATTTACAAATAATCAATAATATAGAAAACTCTATAATACACATGCAAAAAATTGGCTGACTAATTGTAAATCACTGGTTATGCTAATCAGTGAGGCATATATTATTGTGACTGAAAGACTCTGAAGCTGCAACCTGCACATTGAAACTGCAATTATATGGGCCAAAAGTTAAAATACCAGCCCCCCCCCCCTCCCCAAAAGATAGGCATCACGGTGAGAGATTTATTGTGTCATTCTAAGGAAATTTAAAACAATATCAACTTCTACTTATTTTAACATTCACAACACAGCTGCAATCCCCCTTAACCACCATCAAACTCATCTTAATCCCATTCCATCATTCAAAAATTTGTAATCCAGCCACAGGGTCACACAATTTCCACATAGAATATAACATTTTTCTCCATGAGCTACTGACTCTACCACACTCAATATTTTATAAAAGGAGCACGTGGCAGAACCGTAATGTGCTGACTGATGCTTCAGTTAATACCTATTATTATTCCAGGCCAAATATTACGTATTATTTTTTTTAATAGTATGTACTATACTGAAGTCTGCACAAAAATCTTTGCTCCAAAATCCTTCTTATCCTCATTTAATCGAGAAAGTTATCGAGTCATTACCCGCCATTTAGTCATATATCTCCATGTGCTTTTTTAACTACTTGTGATTTAGAACTACACACTTCACATGCATAATACTAGTACTGCTGTAGGCTGTTTAGGTCTCTTTTCAAATCCTTATTTACTTTTATCAGATCCCATTAACATATGAGAGTTCTTGTGTATACCAATCAACAAATACTGGAAATGCACCAATAATAATAAAAACTGTTAGTTTTGATCTTCACAAAACTGTTAGGCACTGGAGAATCAATGTCAGCATTACACCTTTATAAAAACATACAAAATATTTGTATAATACATTAAATACTACCAAAAAATAATTGCCTTTGCTTTTTACAGTTTCATTCATTCATTCATTCATACATACATCACACAATATCCAATCAAAATGTTAAATAAAAACTAGCTAGTAAAAATTTAAATTATTTCAAGAATGTACAACATAAACAGATTCTTGAAAATTACTTAATATGGCATGAAACCAAGCTTTAGTTAAAACTTTTAGTTAAACAATAAGCATAAACTGGCTTCGACAATACACCTAAAATTGAGTTTATGGGAGAATCACTACAATTCACTTTCTACTTAAGTTGCAACTATTCTAAATAAGTATGCACAGAAATAAAACTATAATCTGCCTTAAGGAGATCTATAAATAATGTACAATGCATTGATCACACCTGCTGACCCTTATTTCACCTGTGCACACAAACAGCAGCAGAAATCCACATACCTATAACATGCTGCAACATACAAAAGACAGTCATGAAGTATTATTTATCACTTCCTTAAGCTGAGCGCTGGGTGCAGGCACATATATAACTAGGGCTTGAAAAATTATGCCAAGTCCTATTCACAAAACTATAAATTCATTTGCCACCCCAAAAGCCTTTTGTGAAATACTGACTTATCACCGGTGAGCAGGTACCCATAATTTTTTCAAGCCCTATACAATGAAAGTAGTATTTAAAAGAAAAAGATCAGTTCTGTAACAAAGCCAGTCAATATAAATGACTATTGTGACATCTGTTCACAAGCTTGCAGTATCAACCTACCTCAGGTGAGTAGTTACCTGTATTTTTCAAGCCTTATACATAACTCTATTTCCAACAAGGAACACATACCACTGAACTAAAATGATCATGCTAACCACATCAGTAGTCCTATATATAAATGGCACTCCACAGGGTTACATGTTTCAGTGGTATACCCATGCCAAGCACAACATACTTTTCTTTACATGTAAGCCAGAAAGCTGGGGTTATTAGATCAACATGAAAACCAGACATTAACTGATACTAAACATCCATCCTACAGGACTGCTGGCCACACCTTAACTCTGACAGGTAACTGTTTAGCGATATGTTGACCCCATGCGTAGTGGTCACTGTACCTACCGTACACTTGCAGCAGAACCTCTTCTAATTGCTACCAACCACAGGAGGAATTCTACAGTTACTGTGCCACAAAACAATAGACCATTCTCATTCTGACAATGGCCAAGACTCCAAATATTGTACGCGACACAAAACATAATTTCTCCTAACTTGCAAGTGTTTCAAAATAACAAACAGTATGTATTCTCGCTTGCTTATACAGAATTATGGACACAAGGTAGTATTTGTTATAGCCTTATCAAAGTTTCTGAAATCTGTGGTTTTCATTACTAAGGTGAAACAGTTAAAATAAATCATACTGAAAAGCTGAACCAAGTAACAACAGGTTATAACAAAACAAAAGAGGGTGAAACATTGCACTATCTTCTGTGCCACTGGCTGGAATACACATTAGATAGTGTTAAAACTTCGAGGACCATAAATTTTATTCCCATTCCTTCATAAAAACAAGAGCATTATTTGAAGAGAGTTTTCAATCTGGTACACAAATAAATAACTTTGGTGGCAGTGACCGTGTTAAGTGATAATAACGATATTAGTCAGAATGTTTTAGTTATTATTAGATTACCTGTTTACAAACCACATTGTGCAAAGAAAAACAAGTCATGTTTTAGTACCAGTGGTGATAAACTGGTGATTTGTAAACAGTGCTAAATATCTGCTGGATATTCCTCTATCCTCCAGCCTTTTAAACCACTGAGGCATGTGGATTAGTTTAGAAGTTATGTTTTTATTTGTTAAACACTTTTTTAAAATGTATTTCGGAGATACATACAGACCGACAACAAATTAGTCAGTCCTCAAAGTGTTAAAAAGAGCAATGATGTAGCATTACTACCTTCTGCTCTAACATAAAGTTTTTGAGTGAAATGAAAGAACAGCAGTTTATCTGTTAGACGCAGTACCGTAGTGCACAGTGAGCAAGAGGAATAATACCAAATGTGAACATATACCACCATAAATATATTAAGCAACCAACAACATTTTTGGCATACTGCTTGTGTCTGTCACATAAAGACACAAATATTCTTTATATGAATTGTCATAGCCTGAAATACAGTCCACCACAGCCTCAAGAGTTGCTCTTTAACCCTCATGTTCCAAAGTGCCTGACTTTCAGCAGTTCCTAACTTACCGAACCACCAGCACTGGCTTAAATTACAGATTTTTTTTCTTCCAAAAAGCTTTCCTTTTGATGTTTGAAACCATATTCAATATTTTAACACTCGATGGCTATTATTTTCATTATCTTTTCATTTATGTTTACAGCTGACTTTACAGTACAGTATTTTTGTGAAATTCTAGTAAACTACCCTTGGAGCCTCAGCTTATGCACCTGGGAGTAAAGAGTTAAATTCTTCAGATTGCTGAACCAACAATGTCACAAAGTATCACCTTTCTTGCAATCATTTTCCAGCGTATGTTGGGTTCTTGAAGGTAGATGTTGCTTGCTTGTAAATTGGATTTTCACCCTGTAAATACAAACAATGGTATTACCTGTACATGCATGCCAACATATTACAAACAAACAAACAAAACTTCCTTATATTCCCAATTCATACATCAGTAGAGCAAATGCACTTTCATACAATTCAATGGAAACTGCATACTTTTTCACATAGCACGTTTGTGGCCCTTACATCACTTTACTCTATGAAGCTTAAGAGAAAAATATGAAATGGATTTTAGTGAATATGACAGTACATAATGAACTGGACCAACACAGAAAAAGGTACAATGGTCAGTTTAAGCGGTGGCAATGATAACATTTTTTGATCATAAATTATGTAATTTCTTCGACAGACAAATAATTAGGCACTGTTCAGATAAAACCCGCAAATATTACAAGCCACAAGTATGTAACATCACAAAGTGAAACAGATTCAAATGTTTTAAAAGAATATAGATTAAACTCACTGTATCCCACTTCGCCATCATGCGTTCTTTCTCAAACTTGGCAAATTCACGACGGTCGTGAATAGTTGTCAGTAGTTTCCACAGCAGTAACAGAGCCAATCCAATCAGTACAATGGCACCGATAACTCCCAGCACAATGCCTATGGTATCCACCCAGAAAGATTAAAATGAAAATGTAACTTATCATGCCATGTGTTTTTCTTAAAAAAAATATTTTCAATCACATTTATCAGAATACAGTAGATTCTGGTTAATTGGGACATCGGTTAATCAGGGCAGCTGTTTATTTGGGATAAGTCTTAAAGAAAAGACTTTTTAACTCCTTACTTCGCATAACTGGGGCAGCCGCCTAATTGGGCCAAAGTGTTCTAATCCCGATGTGTCCCAATTAACCGGAATCCACTGTATAATGCAATTAAATATTTTACTAGTACCTATGTCTGAAATAACATATACTATGTTTACCATAAAGTGAGCAATATACTTGGGTGTATATTACGTTACTGCAGATATAATATACAAAACAGTAAGATGAAATATGTAACAAAACCGGCACACATCTTCAAATAAAACTAGTAAGTTATCTATCAGTATAATGCCAATGAATCACCTGAAGATGGCAGTAGTGCGTATTTCTGAAATGTATAAATCAAATATACCTAAATGGACTGTGTCAAACACAATACTGGTATCTGTATTTGTGTAACACACAAAACAAGTGGTGAGAACTGCCTAACGCATGAGTCTAAAAGCCACACTATACCATGCTTCTGTTCTCAATAGGTTTACCCCCACTCTTTAATAGTTCTCATGCACACAGCCTGATAAGGACGTACCAAGAACATATATTTCTGGAGGACATTCACGCTTCTCCTGCGCTCTTACTATGAGTGTATTATTATCAGAGTATGTGTACACATATGAAAAACGGCAATCTTCTTCATCGTAATAAGCGCACAACACTTCTCCTGCCTCTTCATGAACTGAAACATAGAACAAACAGTTAACAGAAAACAACAAATTTTTAAATTATGTTTTAATTTCTCATGGAGTTTCCTTTATAAATATATTGTAATTTATTTCCAACAAAATTCACCTTTATTAACATTTTAATTGAACAAATACAGTCCCTCCTGACACATTTATTTATAATTGTTACTAAAACCCGGGAACTTTTAGAATCCACCATGACTAAAATTTTTTTTTTTGCAACTTTAGTTAGGAATTAGGCTACAACTGACTTGCCAACACAAACCTGTAACAGTTAAAGACAGCTATAAAAGACAGGCCTGATGGCAGCAACAACTGCTGCTGGGAAGTAGAGAGGTATCACAAACTGTTCAAGCAATTCACTCTGTGACATCTTCTATTCCATGCATAACAGAATGCAGTGTTGTGATATAAATACAGTATTTACTTGAATAATCACACATCTCAATGAGAAACTTCATGACAATAATCATATACACCTAAAAATGTCACAGATCAGTGCATATGAAAGCAGAGATCACGCACAAAATGCTTTACCAACAATGAAGAATTATTAGGGCAACATGTTTTGAGGTCACAGGAACACTGTTAATAAACTATACTGTTTATGATGAAACCTCTACTTCCTACATACTTACTAAGAACCATAATAGGATACAAAAAATAAAGATCAATGTAACAGATAAGTATGAGTAATCATAAATATACTGTGTAGGTAAACAAATCATAATCTCTGTAAAATAGATCATGAACTATTTGAATTCTCTTACCTTCAATGACATCAACTGAGCTAGGTGTAAAAGTACAATTGGCTAAACATTCCTCTGCAGTCAGAGACCCAGTCTTGTACATCTGGCACTGTACACACTCTTTAAACTCCAGACATCTTCCAGAGGTGCTCTAAGCATCGACAAATGTACAAATTTAATATTTATAAACAACATGGAATAGTGATTACATAAACAGACAAAGGCAGCTAAAATAAAGTTTCTACATTAGGTGAAAGGCTAGTTGAATACAGATTAATGATTAAATAATAAATGTATCTGTACATAAAGCAGGATGCTGGTATGGCTGTGTGTGTTATGCATGACTGACCAAGTTATCAGTAATGACCCTAGATGGCATAATGTTCTACTTTATAGCTACTGCTACCATTAGACAGCTCTTAGAAATACTTCTGAAGTAGTTAAAGCCAAAACCATTAGTCATAGAACCGCCCTTTCTACTTACTGGAAGCTTCTCACAGAATTTTCCGGTGTAACGTCCTTCCTTTCCCTCATAACATTCACACGCCCCACAATTGCAGTCTCCATTGCCCGAGCAGATTTCTCCACCACCTGGCGGGATACAGGTGATGCTAGAAGCTCGACAATCACATGCATCTCCAGTCCAGTCTGGTTTGCACTGGCACTTGCCACATATGCAAGTGCCATGGTCTGAACCAGAACACAGCAAACCATTTGCATAGTCACAGGAGAAGTTGTCACACTCACAAAATGGGCCTGAAATCACCTGAAAAACAAAACAACGCTTGATGTTCTTGTACATCCTGACTTTATGCAATTTTGGACATAGAGTCTCACCGTGCATACCTTCATTAGATGAAAATGTAATTACAAACATGAACAGTAATCACCAAAATTCACATCAAAAAATTATTTTGAAAGAAATCTACATTTTCGTAAGAAAATGAATTACACTTACAACTGTAGCAGTGATGTTTCAGTCTTACCTCTTCAGGATTCTCTCTTGTCTCACATTCACAGACTCCACACACACAGGTACCTCGCCCTGAACAATCTACAACAGATGTGTTGTCAGGTCGGCAACCACCTACAGGAAGTCCTGTAGCTCCATTAATGTTATCACTATCACATTCACAGGTCCGTCCAAAATGTGTCTTATCACATTCACAAATGCCACACTTGTATGTGCCAAACTTAGAGCACTGTTCAGCCTTCCTTTTAAACCACTGCAAACAACAACAAAATGTCATTACAAAAATAAAGATTGCTGTGCAAAGTGTTACCTGAAACAGGACTCAAATTACACTGAATGGCAGTCAAATCTAACTTCAGCTGACCTTACTATACAGAGTGCAGGGCCCATGATCCTCATGTGGGATGGAAAATGAAAACATTCACTGGACTAACTTCAATTTAGAAGCTTTAATACTGCCAGCATTGAATAAAGACTATTTAGTGGACTTCTTATAACTTGAGTTAGATCCTGAAAGATTGCAACACCAATGAAACTAAGGTCGCTTGAAAAGTCATTTAGATTACTCTACATCAATAAATGGCTCATATTTTTTTATCCCCTGTATTTTACCTCTCTCCTTTCTTCCCTTATAATTATTATCCACTTCCAGGCCTGAGACTAGCTCTACCAGGGGGTCCAACAGATAGGCTTTCTGTCCTCTTACCCCTTTTTACCTGAAGATGGAAGCAGAATCAAAGTCCTGAAATGCTATACTTTTATTGTTCAGATAACAGACACAGTCCAAAAGAACTATTTTACATATTATTCCAGCTACCTTGCCTAAGATGTTTCATGGGTTTCTTCAGACAATCACAGAATCTTAAGAGAGGCCACACCCTTTCCAATTTATAATTAATAAATCAACCTATCATCAACTCATCATTACATATCTTAGGCAGCTTAAAAGGCACAGTTAAATAAATAAACTAAGAATCAGTAACCGTGTATGATAAAAGATGTCCACAGAACATTTACTGAACCACTTTCACACTGACATTTTCCACATTTATATCCATAACACTACTTTCTGTAAATATGTCACCTTATAAAAAATAACCACGTTGAATATAAACTCACCGGATCACCCTCCTGTTCACAAGGACAGCTGCAAAGCATCTCCAAATCAACAATGAGAGATTCATTAATACCAACTGGATAAATTTTGAAGATCTGCTTCCATTTCTTGGGATCTGATGGACAATTTGTAACTTCAACCTCTGCCTCAAACTTGACCACATCACCAACCTTCAAACCATCACATTTGTTTGTCTGAATTGCTGGCCCACTGCCTTTACAGGCAGAATAGTACGTCACCTTAACTGCATCTGTTGTTGCATTGTCCTTCATCTCGACAGAGGAAGAAATTTTCTGAAATAAAAGACAATTATACTCAAATACTTATGCAAAAAGATTTGGCATGTAAATTCATGGCTCCTTTCAACACAACACAACAACCTAACTTTTGTGAAACACTTCTACTACATGAGCTTATGTAAACACAACTGTAAAGAACTGTACAATAGGAATGTCAATGACTTTAAAATGGAAAAAGATAAACAATTTGATGCTTTCACAGTGGTGAGTGTTTGGTCCTCTGCGATGCTGCATATGTAGTCCTCTAGAAGCATACCAACATTCTGGAGAAAAATTCTGCTGCTATTCTAAGAAACATGAGGGAAGTGGCTGATACCAAGTTCCATCCTACCAAGATTTCACAATTTTTCCCATCAGTATCTTTCCACTGTTGCTTCATATTCACTCATGTATCATCTGTGGGTTGGACAATGGGACCATCAGTGACCACAGTTCCATAGAGACAAAGTTTCCCCCCTTTGCAACAATATTAGTAATAACAGGAATAAGAAACAGATGGTCACAGTGAGATTTCAGGTCCTCACAGTGCTGAGTATGAAGATGTTACACCATGTAGTCTTGTAGGAAATGAGGGATGTTTCACAGTTGCTAACTACCTCCATCATCAGGGCAATGAGTCACCTCAATGATGGAGGCAGTAAAGACATCTGAATTGTCAGTCAATTTCTACAAGACTGAAAAATGCAACATCCAAGAAGACAGTCACCTTCAGATGGCAATGTACCTATTAGAAGCATTATTTTACCTATTTTATATATTAAAATAATGAGCTGCTGATTATGTAACTAATTTATAATAAAATATACTTTGAAACACCACTCACATCATACTGCTCTCGTACTAGATCCACTACATTGGACGAGTCATTTGACAGCATTCCTGAAGAAGCTCCTTCAACATTATCCTTCAGGCGATCGTAAACGCCAATCTGTTCAGCTGTCACAGCGAATATTACATTGATAGCATTCTGGCGCACCTTAAGGTTCACTTGTGATATCGATGGATAGTCCTGTAGTTTTGAGTGAGTGTATTCTCCAACTGTATCCAGATGGCATTCTCCATCATTGGGTTTAACAATACCACCAAGCTGGAAATGCACAGCAGAACAAACAAACTATACATTCACTGGACTTATTTAATTAAATGTATAGGATGAGAACCACCAATGCATATCTGCATTATTCAGGTTTGCATATTAAACAAACAGTTCAGTTCATGAGCATACTTGTCCTCAAAGTGTTAAGGTTGTTTTGATATGGAATAAGCAAATTTAAAATCTTACTTCAAAAGTCAGTCACATTTTGTGTTCATTCACAAATTCTATACAATACTTTTACACAAGACAAAGATTTGTTGTTCTACTAGAACCTGCTTGGCATACACAATGAAATTATGACACCCCCCCCCCCCATAAAGTTTACCTCCTCCTTGTTTCTAAAGGGTTCTGATGACAGGTTATTGCAATCTGGATTACTGAATGTTTGGACTCTGTCCATTGTCTGATATTCAGAAAGACACAAAACATTTCAAAAACTGGATGTCTTTATTCTCAGGTGTAAGAGAGGGGGGCACCTAATCTGTTGGGTCCATTAGAAAGAGCTAATCTCAATGACTGGATAACACCTGGGGATGAAAAGAGATCCATTTTCCATTTTTTTCAGAATACCAGATGATGGACAAAGTCCAAAAACTCAGTAATCAAAATTACGTCTTCCTTGTTTCTGCCACACTTTCCTGATGCAACTAACGCCCTCCTGCAATACATAACTGCCTAACTTCGACATACCTTTCCATCTCCAGCATAATGAAAACCAGCATCAGTTGAGAAGACCAATAATCTTCTGGCTTTCTCTCTCCAGCCGATCTTCTCTCGACAGACCACAGCCTGCATAATAGCATCAAAACCACCTTCAGGAGCATCCAAGTTGCCGGACACAGCTGCTCGCCGTACCTCACCCTGAGGCAGAGTAACAACCAATTAGGTCACTTTATATAGTTTAATATTGCACTGTTACTACAAAAATGTTAAAGTACGCGGACTCAGACTAATTCAACTTTGCTAAACATTTTTAAATTCTCAAATTTTAAGATCAAGTAAAAACCTGTACAAAATGCATTGCCTAAAATTGGCTACATGCAATAAAGAACTTACACTTCTCTAACCTGGCTTTAAATGAGTATAAGAAATGCTACACTCACAACCGTAATCAAGTACACATACTATTTAACCATCAAACATCAAATTATGTTACGCACTTTTACGTGAATTAAAGTCTTTAATAACGATTATAAATAAAATTTGAGAGGTATTTATTTTTATATCTAAATACATACACTACATCTAATTGTGATATGCTGTTAATGTCCATGCTTGCTTAGTTATGTAAGAAAATAAGCTGAATACATATTTCAGTCAATTCTTAACTTTTAACATATTGATCCAAACTAAAACTGTTAAGGAATTTGAATAATAAACTGAAAATGTCACATTTTATCCCATTATTACCGTTAACAAATTAATTCAAAATACAATTATGGGAAACAAAAAATATTGTTGGATTTCTCAAGAAATATCATAACAATGAAAGTCTTACCTAAATTAACCACCTCCACACACAACACAGTAACTGTTCCAACAACAAAAATTAGGCTTCCAAACTATGAAAAGCTACCTGTTTTTTCTGAACACTATAAAAGAAGAATGAGATCAACTACACACGCTCATCAGTGTCTGTCTTCTGGGTTGTAATGCCAACTGCAGTTGTAGCAGCCATGAAGATGGAGGCAACATGTTGTTCCAAAACGTTAGAATCCACCTAGAAGTCTACACGGTGTTACAATCCAGAAGACCAACAATGACATCTTCACCAGCGTCAGAAACTCAAATCGCACACATACACCTGCATGCATTAAATAAAACTCTTGCTGAAGAAATGTTAATCTAAAATAAATACACAGAAATATTAGTAGAAAGCATGAAAGCAAGTTATTCACATTTCATAGAGCAAAGGCAGTCATCCATCCATTTAGTCAAACAAGGCAAGATCCTTCTTGAGAACTTCAATGCCATTTCAACACAAAAAGTTATTTTCTTTCATACTGCATACTATTTCAACACTCGCCAGTCACCCCAATTATTAGTCTTAAGAGTGAGAGACTCAAAATTGCATGCATGTCTACCCAAAAAATATGGTATTTCAATACTAATCAAAATAACTTTTCACACAATGTTCATACTTCAGGAAAATCACTTCCCTTTAGATTATCTTCTAGCTTGTGAAACTTCTATCTAGAGAATAAGGTATGTTTTTCGAATAAGATATTGACAAACGTTTGAACAGGAAAATTCCCATGCTTTGAATGGACGACTACAAACTAGTTTTACTTAAGAACCAGCAAATGTACAGCAGTACAGTCACCCCTCCATTTCTCAAAACTGCTATTCACAGTCGAGCTTCTAACATTGCATTATCACAAATTTTCTTTTGAGAAGTTTCCAATGGTGCATCACTGTAAACTCCATGCAATTTCTTATCATCCAGCCCACATGCACTGTATCAGTTTGCCTCATTCTACACCTCACTGTTGTACTCGAAACATCTTGCGAAGATAAGCATTCCATTTTTCATTTTCCATATGCCCAACAGAGGAAAAAGTGATGTTAACAATGTAATTGCAAGTGTAAAAACTATGTACAGAGAAGATAATAGATAATTCACTGAAAGGGTGTGTATGTGTACATTCATCAAGATCCAAATATAACCCTCACAAACAGAGGTATGGCTCTGTATGCATCTTAGCAGGTGGAGTCAGAGAATGCACACGTATTCATCCTATTCTCCTCTACATACAAGTAGACGAGCATAATTATGTTAATGTGTAATAGAAGCTTTACAAACCACAAGCAAATCAAAATAAATACCAATAAGTTATTACAATTGTTTGTTCAATACTTATATTCCACTTTTTTTTTCAATTAAGCAGAAAATCAAGAGCAAGTTGAACAAGCTAATATTATTCTGACAAATGTCAGACCACTTCTCATATTTGTAGCATATGAAAAATAATGAAAGAATGTAAGATACAGAAAACACGCATTCAAGTGATGAGATAATCAGAAAGTGTCTTCTATTTACAAAAAAGTTGCAGTTCCTTTCTCAATTTTACTAAACCACAGCGAATGTGTATTACTTTACATACAGCAGCTGAGATAAATCAGCAAATTTTCTGCTACTTTCAAGTCACTATAATGATTCATAATGTAAATGCTGTAATAAGCACATTTTATGTTCAGCAACCCAACTTGCTTTGTTTTGACTGAAATATTTTGCAACTTCCAACATAGCACCTCCAACACAATACTAGATGTTTTTAAATTATAAAAGTTCCCTTTAAGCAGTGCAAAGGTTATTATTAACATTCTAATTCATTTCTGGGTACAAAGAAATGATACAGGTCTTCTAAGTAAATGCAAAATTAATACTCAAAAAGAGTTATTTATATACAAAGACCTTGAAAAGTTAATACTGGATGCAAATAAAAGAAGTGTTACAAAATTTATAAAGAAAAAACAAATTTAATTTGAATTGCAGGTGTAAGTCATGAAAGTTAGTAGCCAAAACACAACATGACTTACAGAGAATCTATTTGCGTTGTTACTAAGTGACATGATATTGCGAAACCCATATGGAGCAGCACACCCCGTGCACGGTTCGATCAGACTGGAGAACACAAAGAGATGCATACTCAATACAAAAGAAACACACAGCGCTACAACCTGGAACTGATGACCCAACTAAAATACACTGTGGTACCATAAAGTGCAGTAGTCAATCACAGCAAGGTATCTGACAAACCATCAGAGTAATAAAGAAATATTTCACGTTTGGAAAGGATGAAAGGAACAGGGGACACTGTAGACCATCCAATTATTATCAACAACAAATACAATTTTTTTTTTACAAGCCATATAAAATTTTGAAAAGAATATTTAATCACTGCAATTACAAACCAGCAGCCATATCGCAATCAGTGTCATTAAACACTAATAATCATCTAATTCACCTCAGTGCAACAGAACCTGAACCCGCAGAATACTTGTGTAAATTTCTTCTCCTTCTAGAACTTGTCCTAAACCACTCTTTTACTTTGAGGTTTCAGCAGAACTGTAAATGTCTTCAATCATCAAATCGAACAGAGCATTGCACAAAACAACTGATTTCATTTTTGCTGCTCACAGTAGCAGTTACATTGAGAAATCTGTCACCTGACATTTTATACTTCTGCAGCTCCACACATCTTTGTCTGAACTATACAACCATAGGCATCCAATGTCTACGCCAACATTTTCCTCTATTCAGCGAGTTTTCCTAGTTCTGCATTACCTACCAAAGTGGTATTTGGGGGTATTTGATGGACTGTGACACACATGGTCTGTTTACTGAACCAATATTTTAATTTTGCAGTGACAATATATTAAAGATGAAATGTTGACATATGTAAGCTACACAGTTATCAGTGGTGCTGAAACCAGCAAATATTTTTCATTGCATTACAATACACCATGTTATAATTCATAACATACATTTATTAACAGAATTTAGTCACAATATCCATAAACTGAGAGAGAAAGTGACTTCAGAATATGAATCTAGTCGAACTACTTATGCAATACAATGTTACGCCCAAAAATGTTGATGAAAGGCTTATAGACTATACCTTTTTTCACAGATATGTCACATAGATTACTGGATGCTATTGTGATAATCTGTGCCTAACACTTGACGCTATATGACTGCGGATTTAAACAAATTCAGAAACTTCTCTGAAACCCAGGCACATTTGCTAGATCCTGTTTGAAGGAGAAGGCACAAAACTAAATAGATTCAATAAAAATGATATAATAGCAAAATATATATGCTTATTTAGATTCTATACAAAGAGTAATTTAAGGAAATGACAGATGGTCTAACACAGCACCAACACAGGGGAACAAGCCATCTTGAAACCTGTCAGAAAACCAGTAAGCTCCAGGTGCAAAACAGAAGAAACCTCTGCCTACAGGAAACAAAGTGCATGAGACACATACGTCAGTTCACAGACCCGACCCTGGCCAGGTTTAAGGCTAGATCAATCAGAGGGGTCCACCAGACAGGCTTTCTTTTTGTCATCTTCCCCCCCCCCCTTTACCTCAAGACAAACAAAATCCAAAAGAACAACTTTACACATAAAGAGGAATATCATCTCGGCAACTCATGATTTTAATGTTGTAATAAGAGGAGACATGCATATGAACAAATCATGAGAAACTGATTTATGGGTCTCATCATATAAATAAGCACTGGAAACAACATCCATTGAGATCAAGTCCATCTCCCAATAAACCAAAGGAAATGACCCTTTGACACATTACACATATAAAACTGTTACTTCCCTATCTATAATCTGAAAGAGAACATTTCATATCTGTAACATTTGCTGCAGGGCCTGTAATCACCACTTACAGAGAATCCATGCACATTGCCACTGAGAGACATGTGGTTTCGGAATCCATACGGAGCCTCACAACCAGTGCAGGGTTCTGCTAGTCTGGACACAACGTGTTACGTTGAGGGAACAAAAAAACAAAAGCTCAAATATTATTACACAGCGTAAAAACATGTCATCATCTCCTCACCATGCATACAGGAAATCTAAACACTTCTCTTGTTTTGCAGTTATATATGTAAACAGTCTGTAATAAAACCGTTTAATTCCTGTTTTTAAGAGTGACCAGACCAATAATATCAGAACATTCAAAAGCAACAAAATTAACTTCTCATTCAAAACAATTCAACTGCTAAAATGTCTTGAGTCACCCGATTTACTTCATACATCCTACTTCTCAAAATAAAGTGATAGCGTAACACCTCCAGCAACATTTCAAAAATTATGTACGAATATCGAACATCACATTGAAGTCACCTGCTTAAAGCTGATCTAAGATATAACACTGCAAGGAAGTCAGTTGTCACCCACAACATTTTCATGTATGTGTACACTTAATAATTACCTTGTCTGTAGATCCTTACACATACAATAAAAATATTTATATGAATATAAAATTACCTTGGAATAATTACAACCTCAGCAGTGACAAATTTTCATTCAGACACAGTTCACGATTTACCCATAAAACCTGCTACAGCAACTTTATCTATATATATGTCACTTTGTAGCAACCAACAATAATTTTCAGGCAGATTTTTACCTTTAAACAATCAAAACTGTTTACAACTGTAAGACCACACATAATAATGAAAACTAAAATCATGTTTGTGATAAAAACACTGATCCTGGAAAAAGAAGTATTTTTATTACTTTCATATAAGATGACTTGATTTCTCAACACATATTCAAGTAAATATGACGAAGATACATTGCCATAACAACACACTAGACTCTGAACTCAGCCCACAAAACGGTGATAAAATGCAGAAATGGAATGGACATGTAGCATGCATGAAAAATAAAGACATGTACACAAAATTCTGGTTATAAAGTCTTATAAAAACAGTCCACCTAAGACATCAAGGTAAGGACAAAGTTAATATTCAAATGGATCCTGAGAGAAATAAGTTGGGGACATGCGAGCTGGATTAAATTGGCTCAGAATATGTTGTCCTGATGGACTTTTGAGATAAGGATAAGTCCTCAAGTACCATAACAAAAGGGAATATTTTATAACTAGCAATGATGTCCTTCTGTACTTCCATGACTTAGTATTCTGAACAAAACACAGTATTTCAAAAACTGATCTGTTTCCATCCTAATGTGAAATAGTGGGGAGAGTACCTACTCATGCCTGTGCGCTTGTATCCCCTCCCAAAAATTGTTCACGAATACCTGTATAAACATCATTAGGAATCCAACTGAGTAGATATGCTGCAGAAACAGAACCAGTTTCAAAACTGTGTCCTTTTCAGATTAACAGATAACAGGCAAAGTCCAGAAAAAGTCCAGTAATACTAACTGCATCACACCCTTTAAAATAAGAAGTAGAAATGTTTTCAGCAAAGGGAAAGTCCTATACCATGGCATTAATCATTCAATTCATTTTGTGCAGGTTAGGTTAGGTTACCTAGCACTAAAAATACAGGAAATAAATACTACTTACTTCTTTGGAACAGTGCTGACATAGGGCATAACAACTTTGTCAACAAAGCTCCCAAATCCAAGCCTGAAATCAGATGTTATCTTCTGCATACTCTCAACAAGAAGATCTCCCAAGACAGACAGCTTCTCTTTGTCATCCTCCATTGACTTCGACAAATCCATAAGGTAGTACAAATCTACTGGGTAATCTTGGGCTTGCGAGTAGCTGACAGTGAATCGAAATGCTTCATCTGTAACGTTAATATTTCCAATACAAGAGGCATAAATTTGACTGATGAAAAGATTTATTTTATTTATACCATATGCTTACTAGTTCTACTACTCTTCATGATTTACATAACAAATTTGATCACAGGTGACAATAAGCATCCAGTAATATTTAACCCTCACAATAAAATTAATAATTGTTCTTAAAATCTTACAATTCCTCAGAAAAACAAAACTGACTTACTGTGTATAAGGCAACAGAGGTAGAAAGAATACCACACATCTTGAAACCATGGCACAATTTATGGAAAATAACAAATGTCACACACGTGTGTGCCACTGTATGTGTGACACGAATTTTAGACACACATTCGTGATGGATCAGTACCAATAACAAGGCCTCTATCAGTTAAATGTATATCAACAAAACATGCATTAACAGCAATGAGAGCATCTGTCAGTATATTCTAGCAAACTATGGTTTGCTTATAACTTCATACACATTTCAACTTTAAAGTTTCGTTCTCTATAAAGTTTGAATATTTCTATTGCAGAAAAAATAATAAAACAAGTTTGGCTCTGATGACGGAATTAAAATAATGAATATGGTACACAGAATTAATGATACATATAAAATACATAGCTGTTCAAATTAAATGTCACAATTGCAATTATCATATTTAATGAGCTAGGAGTTATAACAACAAGAATACTTCCATAGAATTACAGTGAAACCTCGATGCATCGTTTTCGGCGGGGGTGGGAAATAAAAACGATGAATGCGGGAAAACGATAGATGCGGGAAAGCATTAAAAATTTAAAAAAAAACAATGTTTCTCTTTCAAAGTTACTTCTTTTTACCAAAAAAGTCTTTAATGGACAACTGGTTTGTCGAAACTTTACGTTTTAGACCAAACAGAGCACTTTCCACGTTCAAAAGGTTTTCCTCGTCACGTTCACTAATATTAAGCGCATAAAAGAACAACTTCACTTTCGCCAATGCAGCGTGCGCTTCGGCAAAACTCGGCAAAGCTTCGGGCTCGCATTCGTCGTCTCCCTCTTCCTCACCACTCCAACCCCCTTTGCGGACAATAACAGGAAGAATGGAAATACTATTACTGCCGAACTCAACGAAACGTAGCTGTAGAAGACACGA